GAGACAAAAAAAAAAAAAAAATCCCATTCTTTGTGTTAAGTGAGGTCTAGGTAGCCTGGCTGATTCTTTGTGTTAGGGGAGGGCTAGGTAACCTGTCTGATTCTTTGACCTGTGGGGCTCATATTTGATTTCACCACCCCCTCTACTCCCACCCATTTTCTAGCTTGCTGTCATAGTAACCCATGTCCTCCTAGACTCCCCACGCCTTACTATCAGGATTCTCGTGTCCACTCTCCAATCTTCCTGACCAAATCCTGCTTTTGAGAAAATATCTGAAATAGTTTGTAGAGGGAATGAGTGGCTGGCAGAGGAGAGCCGGAAGCGTGTGCACGCAGCCAGATTCACAGAGCTCCACCCATTAACAGTTTCAGCTTTGCCGGTTCCTTTTCGCTAGAAGCCTAACTGACAGGGCAGAGGGCGTTCCAGAGAAGAGAGAATGCGTTGTCCTGCCAGGCTGGCACTCAGGAGCGCTCCTCCACAACGGTCTGACAGCCAAAATGGGCTCTAATGCTCTCAGGCAGAGGACCTCGGAGACTGGGCCCCCGTTATCTTTAAGTGCTACATGACAAGGGCAAGGACTTTCGAGTTGTCTGTAGCAGGCTTTTAAAAAGCAGAACTTCACAGAGAAAAATTGCACGGGACGGAAGGGGGAGGCTTAGGGTCAGATCCGGGTCATGAGCTTCTGTATTAACTCTGTAACTGGGTGTCTGTCATGGCAGAGGGCATCTGAGTGATGGTGGGCTTCCTGCCACCCCCGGGTTTATGACAAATGCAGAAACCATCAAGCCAGTTCTTGCATGAAGCCCACCTCTGTTTCTAGTTATTTTCTGCTCTTCCCATTACTTAAAGAACCCTTCCTATTTAAATCATGAGTCTATCACTCATTCTTACTGTAGGCAGAAAACCAACTCCAGACTGGATAGCTCTGGAAACTCTTCCTGTAGCTATTCAGTTGGAAGAAAATACTAAAATAAGCAATAAAAATATGAACCTAGATTAAATGATGGCTGCTGTTCTGTTAGTGTATTGTGCCGGTGTCTTTTAAAAAAAAAATCTAGTGTGAGGGGGCTGGAGAGATGGCTCAGAGGGTAAGAGCACTGGCTTCTCTTCCAGAGGTCCTGAGTTCAATTCCCAGCAACCACATGGTGGTTCACAACAATCTGTAATGAGACCTGGTGCCTTCCTTGCCAGCAGTACATTGTATGCTTAATAAATAAATAAACCTTTAAAAAAAATCTAGTGTGAAAAGAAGGGCAAAAAGCATCATAGATGATGTTCTAGAGGGAAGCCCATCTCAAGAGTTGAATTCAGAAGCATGACGCCAAACAAACGTGAGGCTAAAATACTGTGGTTAGAATCATACCTTTGGTCTGCTATTGGTGTTCTATATGGGGTAAATAGATAGCTGCTCATGTCTCCCCAGGGAAAGTTAGCATAATAAAGAGAGAAAGAGCAAAAGCAAATTATATATTAGAAAAGGCTAAGATTATTTGGAAAATCTAACAAGGTAAGAAGGGCAAGGAATATCAGAAGAACTGCCGTCTGAGGAGAGACCAGCACAAAGGCCTAAGGTGGATGTGTGAGTGGCAAGTGGATGTGTGAGAACAAGGCGACCAGTGTATTTCGAGCCACATTTGTAAGGACTCGGGGTGGACAGTGGTGCACCAGATCATGCAGGGAACTACAGACCTCTGAAATAACAGCATTTGGCTTTTCCTCTTAAAACTAAGGAGCCTGTGAAAAGCTGTGATGTGAATTCCAATGTAAATGTAGCTGGCTATCTTGAGGAGGATAAAGTACAGAGTTTAGAGGGCAGACGGAAGCCGAGTCAGAGCAGGAGGCCAGGGTTATGAAATCGCCTGGAGATGATGGTAGCTTGGACTGCCATTCTGAATGAGCGACAGCTAAGTGGTGAGAAGGGACCAGGCAGCCCTCTTCTGAACCAGTTGTCCAGCAGGAGTGAAAGGCAGCTTCGTGCCTGTGAAATCCCTCATGTAAGCATTAGGAAGAACTGAATTACCTTAGGAAAGACAGAGAGACACCGGTATGGGGGAAGAAGATTGAAAGCTTTGTACATGCTGCATCTGAGGTGTTTATTAGAGAACAATGTATATATCTCAAGATACTCTTGCAAATATAATTCTATAAGAACTTCTTCGTGTCTTGCATTTATTTCTTATGGATATTTTTTTCTTGCCAGGGCAAATAAGTTGCTTTATGGGGCAGGGGAGTTTTGTATAGATTCATTTTGTGTAGTCTTTAAAATACTTGCCTGATACCACCTCCTTCCCAGCTCTGTGAAGATCCTGTCTATCTCTTTCCCCTTGAACGAGGAGAGGTCCATGAATATGACAGTTGCTTCCTTAGCAAAACCAATGGGACAATCATCTTGAGGTTGTGTGACGTTTTTCTTGACATCATCTTAGCTTCTGTTTCAGCTGTTTGGAGTGAGTACTTCCTTTGGGGATTGAGCTGAGAGGGCCACCTTCAAGACTGGAGGGCCACCCCTCAGAGCCCGTGGACATCCCTGACCACCACCAGTAGGTGAAGGGAGAGATTTACTCAACAGGCAAGGAACTCCATTCTGCCAACAATCTGGTCAGCATGCTAATGCCAATGCCATCTGGCTAGCACCTTGACTTCAGCCTGGGGAGACCCTGAACAGAGGAGAGCCCAGAGGTGCCGTTCCCAGGTCACCAGGAGCTGAATTATGGGAAGTGGGAGTTCTTAGTTACCGAGCCAAGGTGATTCTTTATACAGCAGCAGAAAATTGATTGTGACAGGGTAAGACGCTTCCTCAATCTTATATTCTTGATGAGGTCATGTCAAGTTCAACTAGAATTTGATCTCCTTGATGGAGAAGCCCATGGAAAACTACTCAACTCTATCCTAGGTCAGGGTGTCATAGCTAATGTATCTTAGCTTCTGCTAAACTGCCTGTTGGTGTGGAAAACCCTTCAGCTAACCATTTATCTTGGCTTCTGTTAAACTGCTTGCTTACTTACTTCTGTGAATCCTCTCTGTAGCTGCTGAGCAAAGTGTCAGGGTTTTTCTGCCCTCAAAAGTCCTGTGCTCTGGACATTCGAGGTTGCATCTAAGTCCCCAAATAATTGAGTGTAATCCCAGTCAGCTGGAATAAAGACTTTCAATTGTCTATAAGCTGTGTCTGAGGGGTTCATCCCCAGTGGGCTACCCATAACAGCATCCCTGTCAACATCTTTAGCAACAAATGTAGGCACCACTTCCCTTAAGAGAAGATACACAATGGCTGATAAAATACGAAGCCTACCCCAAAAACCGACCAACACAAGTGTTTTTGTACTACTATAAGTAAATAAAGTCACGCATATTAACATTTTTTTCAGGCGTTTTCAAGGATCATAGAGTCCTTGAAACAGAGGGGGAAAAACTATAGGATCACCGCAAGTGGCAAATTCAAAGCTCATTTTTCAGCTTCATAACGACTTAATATAGCATTCTGGCACGGCTTCCAATAAATTTGGCCTTAAGCACCCATGTGCTTTTAGGACCAACACGCAGCACTGGTGAGAGACTCTGGTCATACAGATGGCAGATAATCACTACAGCTCACCTGCTAGTTCTCCTCGAGGAGGAACCTCCATTAACTATTTAAGAAGATTACCAAGAGAATGCCCAGCAGGAGATGGCTGAGCGGACTTGCCCCACAACCCTATCAGCAGGTACCTACAGCACCCGGAGTGAGGACTGCCTCACCTCAAAGCGGCCCTTTGTAGCTACTTCCATCAGAAGGAAAAACAACAGTTACAAAACTGAGATTTGAAAAGAAGGACCATCCTCTTCCTGCGTCTGCTTGGACTGAGTTTCTGAGAACCTCTCAGAAGTCACCATACAGTAGGGACAACCGTAAATGAGAGCGCTGGCTGGCCCTTAAGCTTGATAAGCCAGGCAAAGTTTGATGGGGTGAATTATTTTTTACTGAAAGAATCAATAAAACTAGTTCCAGGGTATCCTATGTCTTCTTCTGACCTCCTCAGGTTCCAGGTCTGTACAAGGGTCTCCCCATCTCTTTCTCTCACACACACAAGCAAAACACTCATATACATTAAACAAGTAAATCTGAAAACTTTTTTTAATTTAAAAGAAAAGTCACGCAGATATGTCTCAAACCCCGGACAAACGACTAGCTGAGGTGCTTGTGAACATATCAGAGCTAACACTGGCTGTCGGGTTCTCTGTTAGGTTCTCCAAACATCCCTCAGTCTCTACCTGACACACAGTTCTCCTGGCTGGCATACCCGACCCCCTACCCTGAACTCTCCAGCCAGCCCAGGGGCTGGATTCCGCCCCCCCCCTTTGTTTTTCCTTGTATAATCCAGCCATTTTGGCCAGTCCTTTTTTACCCCTTTTGCTCTCTTGGCCCAGCCTGCCCCCTGTTTGTCAGTAGCTCCTCTTCACTCTCTCTTCCCCTCCCTCCTCACATGGCTTGGCTCAGTCTGGCCATGCTCACTCTGGATGCTCCAGGTGTTTCTGTCTCCACCCCTTTTTGTGTTCTCCTTCATCTCTACAATGAATCTTCTCCTCCTCCATTCCTAGGAACAGTCATGCCATCGTTTATATTTCTTTTTTTTTAATTATTATTCAATATTACTGATTTATCAGCAAAACACTGAACTCAAAGGTCTATGAGAAACCTACTGGATAGACAAAACACGGCTCACTTTTCCAATGCAATGCTCATTCTTGTCAGCATTCGCCATATGATGTTGAGGGGAAAAGCCACAGGTGAATACATTAGTCAGTTTGAAGTTCAGAGAGATAGAAATACAAAACTGAGTTGGTAGATTTCTAATGTGTGTAACGATGCCATACAGGACAGCAACACTGGAAACCAGAACACAGGCCTGCAGAAGTGTCTGTTGTCTTGGTTACTGCGGCTCTGCGTGACATTTCTTCCCCACCTCAACCAGAAAAAGCATCAGCCCTGTGACAACAGGCCTCCAACAGAGGACTCCTCTTACCTCAGCATCAAAGCGCGGGTCCTGGTACGCGTCGCTGACATTCACAGGAAGGCCTGTCGAAGCAACCAGCTCGGCAATGCTGTTGTTTATCAGCCAGTCGGAGTAAGACGACTTCTCCATGCTTTCTTTGAAACTGTCGGAGCACCGAGTCAGCAATAGGAAAGAAGAGAAACTAAGTTTGTTGGAAAGTAAACTCTGCCAGACGACATTAATAGCAACATTTCCTGCCCTCATTACCGAAGAATAAATGGTCAGAATGACAGGGAGAGGATTATCAGGAGCCCCCTTTAAACTCTTTCCCCACTAGAATGGAAGGTGATCAGACCGTGGAGAGAAACGCAGATCCTCCACAGGCCAGAGAGTAGCTCTAGGCTGTGTTCAAGCCTCAAGGTTGACAAGTCGAATGCACACAATCAGATAAGACCAAGACTGATAATAGGGAACCAGCACACGGCTTCGTACACCTTCCACTGGGTTCCTCAGCTGAACATCCCAGATGTTTTGCTACCAAGAACAGGGGAAACTGGGAAATAAATGTTGCACGTTTTCCGTGTGAGGATGGAGCACAAGGCCTTATGCCGGCTAAGCTGGTGATCTGTCACTCGACTGTGTTCCGGCGCTTGCACAGCCCCAGCTGTGTGTCTAGTCTAAGCTGCACTTTGTGTAAGAAAATATTCAGACTGTAGACAGTCATTGCTATTACGCCGTTAGTACACATTTGTGCATAGTTGTTAATATTACACTGTATGTACCCGTTTGGAGTTCGTGGCGAGCTGGGAAGGGCAGGCGTTGTCATGGAGACCACTAGACGCATGAATGAGCAGGAGGGGTAGATTATCTACCATCATCTCTACATCACATCTGTAGGGACAGACGCTCTGTGACTGGCAAACCCAGGATATATTTACGACTTTACTCATCTCTTGATGCCTATAAAGGCTGAATAGCACACAAGCTTGTTCTCTGTGGCTCTCTGGGTGCAAATGGAAATTTTAATAAGAGGCTTAGGTTAGCTATTGAGTAGTACGTAAATAAAAGAACTTCAAAGAAAAGATGTCTTTCTAATTCCAAAAACAAAGCCTGTGTTCTGTTTTCTCTTTGCTACTTTACATCTATGGCAAATGAGGCTTTATGTTGTACTTTAATGAAAGCAACATAGAGGGAAAACATGGTAAAATGTACCTGATACATGGATCTAGGCTAACAAAACAATTTCTAAATTTATATAAATGGACTGAATTCTTGATGCTCTTTTAGAGAGGCACTGACTTGCCAATACATTCTATATTGTCTATATACTGTATTTTACAATACATTTATTTTGTGTATATATGTGTATGCATGTGTGTGTGCATGCGTGTGTGTGTGCCAGAGGCTGATGCCAGGTGTCTTAACTGATCACTCTCCATTTCATTTTTCTGAGAATCTCTCACTGATACAGTTAAGCTGGCTAGCCAGCGATCTCGAGAGATCCACCTAACTCTGTCTCCCAGTGCTTCACTTGCGGATGGGCTCTGCCAGGCCCCATTTCAGCATGTGAGCTGGGGGTGTGAACTCAGTGCTCATGTTTGCCACGGCAGGCATTTTACCAACCAAGCCATCCCCCCAGTTCCATACGGTCTAATTTTAGAAGTGTTGGAAGTTCTGGCCTATTGTTTTGCTGTAGACCGTGGGGGGAGGGAAAGGGCTGAAGTGGGACCTTAGAAAGACCAGAGCGGAACAGTCAGGGAGGAACCCAAGACAAGAAACAGCGGGGACAAGGAACGAACATTAGCCACTTCAGAGTGTCTTTCAAGATGGGCGTAAGTCCACAGGAGAGATTGGAGGTGGGAGGAGGAAACACCAGGAGTTAAAGAAAAACACAGAAAAATGGGTGACCAGAGGCTGAGGAATAAGACTAGAAAGAAGGCCCGGGTCCAAGAATTGAGACTTGGGTAGAGTTTCTAGGACCTTAGCTGTAGGCGATAGAGAAATGTTTGCGAGTATGGGAAAGAAAAGGCCGCTTGAGCAGTGATCCTAGGAACCTTGATTTAGAGGTGGTGAATAAGAAGCGCTAGCCTAGAGAGACCGAAGATGAGAAGAGACCCTGGTGGATCCAAGTGTCAGGCCCATGTCAAGGGTTTGTAGCCTGTGTACATTTCGCTCCTGAATACCTAATCCTATTCATATAGCAAGGGTTGGTTTGGAGACTCGAGAAGATGAGAAAGATACTAGGTGTTCCAGAAGCATGGCCAGATTGCTTATGGGACAACAGGGCTAGAGGCTCAGTCAGTTCTCAGGACTGCCAAGTGGACACAGAGATGAATTATTTTTAGAGACATGAAATAGCTGGAATTTCTCAGAAAAGGGCTTGTGTGTAGAGAAATTGTCATTGAGGGAAAGCCATTTATTCAGTGTTTTGTGAGTTTAACGGAACATCCAACGTTGAATTAATCAGCTTTCTTGAGTCTGAACATTCATTTTAGAGAGACCTGTAGGCCCATATTTCCACAGTGAATGGCGGCCAGACTTCCAGGCCATAGTTGGCACCTGCTACACAGGAGGCGGTCACCTCCCTAACAAGGGTCAGGATATGCTAATGTTCTGCTCCCTTCTTTGTAGTTTGGAGGATGCCTGAAAAAGATTCTAATTCGGCCTATGTGACAGAGCAGGAAGATAGAAAGACCTGACAGACAGGCATAGGCAGATGTGTGGATGTGACCACAGCCATTCACCAGGTTACCTAGGAAACAGAATGCTAATGAACATCCCCTCAGTTTACGTGTTGGTGTATAAGGCTGTTTGGAGAATAATCGCAGAGGAATTTTCAGGATGTGAACGCAGGATTTCATGGGGGGATCACTGAAAAACATTTTGGCTCCTGGACCTTAAGGCTATAATAATTTGGTCCACACTGTCACACATCTAAGGAAATAGCCCTTTCAGACTCCCCCAGACCCCTGTCTATACTGGAGGGCACTAAAACTGGGGTCACATCCTCATATAGATGTTTGGGAAGCATCTTGATGTTTCCAAAGTTTGTTTATATAAACAATACATTTTTGGGCCTCTTGCATTCAAATCATAATGCTATTTTCCTCCTACAGTGGGAATAGTTAAAGCATCTTAGAGAAAAAGAAATAAAAGCACCATAAAGAGAAGCAACCCTGGGAAGGTGAAATAAATATAATTGATGTTTGATCTTCAGTGAAACAACCTTAAAAGATGAAATCCAACTACGAGAGTTTAACTGTATAAAATTGACCTCTCTAAACTCAGGGTTCATGCCAAACTACCAAGCTAAATTTGATTCTTCTTGCTTTACGGACATCAAGAATGGAAGGAGATGTAGTTATTTAAGCGAGTCTCATGTAAAGGCCCACAGTTTGGAGTCTCCTGTCCCCACTGGCATCTTGCTTCCCAATGTGACACCCAAACTAACTTCAAAGAGACCTCTGCAGGCTCAACCATGATGACTATGGAGGGTTTCAAACGAGAAAACTGTGAAAATAGACTTACGAGTATCTCCAGAGTTACTTCTCTAAACAACATCCATCAGAAGAAAAAATAAATGTATAAACTAACAACCAGTAGTCTCTGCCTGTGCTGATATGACTGTTCTCAATATCAGAGTTTGTTTATATATTTTCACTAGAAATTCTCAGGATCTTGTTTCTTCAAGAATGACTATTGGCTGGTCCTGCATTTAAGAGTTAGGTAATAGAGAGGACCGAATCTTGCAAGAAGTACATACGAAGGGTGTGCTCCTCTTTTGCTGGCCTAAGCAGTGGTTCCATGGAAACCCATCTGTTGTTTAGAATATGCAGTGTTCCTCCACAGGTTCATGTGTTGGGGCCTTGTTTGTTGGCCTATGGGCTTCAAGGAAGTAACTGGATCCTGAAGACCGAATGATAGATTCATCCATTGATAGATTTATAATATAATGGTATTATTAGGAGGTCCTAAGAGAAGGTGATGGGGGCCTAGCTTGAAGAAGTAGGTCACTGAGGTCTGAGCTTTGGAGCTGTGTTTTATGTTAGCCCTATCTCACAGGTTCTCTGCCGCCTGTCCACTATGAGGTGTGCAGCCTCCAGCACACGTTCCGGCCCTCACACTGTTCGACCTCTCCACTGGCTCAGAAACAAAGGTGCTGACCACCCCGGACCAACATCTCGTAAAACATAAGCTTACATAAACCTTTCTTTTAAGATGTTTATGCCAGATATTCTACAGCCACAAGGAAGAATCTTAGAAGACACTGCCTACATACGGGTACCAGTCCAACTCTAGGCCTACCTACAGAGAGGGGTGTGGACAGAAGCTAACATGGCCCGTGCTTCAGGCAACACTGAGACAATAGTGACGGCCTGTGGTAGATGCTCTAGGGAAGGGAGTACAAAATATTAGGGAAGGTGGGAAAAAGGGGTGTTGACCCCAGTTAATCTTTAAAAGATTCATTCATAAGAAGGAATGTTTAAAAATTCAGATGAAGCCATACCACAAGGAATGCCTTGAAATCTGTGGGGCTTTTGTTTTCTTTTATTGTTTGTTTTTTCTCTTTTGATACAGGAAATAACCGAGTTAACACTTAGGTTACAAGTAACGAATAAGGCTACAATGGACGAATCCAAACAGTATGCCGTGTGGTTCTATGCGTGAACCTTGTATTAAAACCTTGTATTAAATACCTGCCATATCTATAGCACCATGCCCATGAGTCTTGAGTTCCTTGTGTGTACTGGAGATTTTATATATACATATATTCACATATATAGCTACCTTGCGTCCTTTCTAGACACGTTTTCACCACTGTTCTACAGCATATCAGGTTTGTCAAGATTTGTTCGTTCTCCTGGCCTGGTAATCACTAATGAAGACTGTGACTCTTAACTAAACCTTGATCAACGATGTGGGCGGAGACGTTTCAGCCATCTAGTTTCTCACTGCCAAAAGATGATTATCCGTGGATCTTTTTTGCAGCTTGATTATCAGTCAGAGGGATAGGGTGGTATTTGGGACAGGTAATTTCTTCTTCTACGCTTTCAAACAAACATCTAGTTTTGAACTACAGATGATATACTTGGTCGCGTTTGATATTTCCCTTTGCTGACTAGATGTCAGTTTGAACTGTGGCTCACAGACTGCAGCTCCATT